CATTTTGTATTTGAAGGCTAATATTTGTTATTAGCCGAACATGAGATTGACGTGTATTTGATATCTGCCCTTGTTTACACATTTTCACGTTATTTTCAAGGTCCAGATCACCGAGGACTTGATTTGGCATGAACAATCCTTGTAAATCGCTGCTGGGAAAAAGTTATTTGTCTAGGGCTAAGAAGCACTTTTCTCCACATGATCTCCTCACTCTCTACACTGTCCATACTCGATGCTGTTCCAAGGAGGACTGTGCGACTGATTATGATAACGGATAGTCTCGAGAGCTTTTGGCATCGACGTACGACTACCTTTGTTCCTAGGATGTAAAGATTTTGAAACAATGTTCCACTAACCTTAGGCAGTTCAAATCGGATCGGATAAGTTTCTTGTAGCTGTCGAGGTGCCAATGCAGGTGCATCATTTGAAAAAAATGTTGCTTTCACTTCCCATTTTCTACTGGCGGGGAAGTATTGTAATCGCGAAAAACTTTGAAAATGCGTTATTGTTTTTTGGATGTTATATGTACATCCTACAAAAACCAAAAGTTCGGCAGGCTTGGCCTGGAAAACAAGGTTGGAATAGCTTCAAATAAAACTAATCTCAAAATACTCTTGAAGCTCTTATGGAGCGAGGTTTTAACTTTAGAATACTTGGCGACTTCAAATATTATAATTTTTAACTGAATTGAATATACGGACACGGTAATGTTTTTTTAAAGCTGATTATTTTCGAGATATAAGTGAATTAGGGTGGATTTCACCAACACTAATATTTAACGGTCCCTTGGACCAATAGGAAAAGACCTTATCGAAATGCAATTTGACAGAAGCTGTCAAAGCGCTCTGAATATCAGTGATATAAATAAGGGTACATTATAGATCTAATAATATGTTTTTGTGCTTTAGAATTAGGATAACTTTCATAGAATTTCGTTTTCAATGCATTTTCAATGTGATAGGAGAAGTTTTCTGTCAAATGTGACTCCCAAGTCATTAATTGTACTAGGTCTGTCAAGTTTCCTGTCACCAATACTATATTCATACATCATTACCCCTGTTTTTAAAGTAAACGACAAAACGTGACACTTCAAAACAAGCATTCAAAACAAGTCTGTTTTCACGACACCAGTTGTCAACCCTTACAATGTTGCATTGCAAGCGATGACAATCGTCAATGTTAGAGACTCTACAGAAAAGTTTCATATCGTCAGCATATATAAGAAAATCGACATCGATAACTTCAGAAATATCATTTATGAACATAATAAATAACAGAGGTCCCAAATTAGATCCTTGAGGAACACCGGACATTACAGGGTATTCGCTTGACTTATGTCCATTGCACATAACATATTGTTTCCTATGACATAAATAAGATCTGAAAAATAGCAACAATGCATCTGAAAGACCAAATCTAGATAACTTATTGAGTAGAATGCTGTGGTCTAAACTATTAAACGCTTTAGAGAAATCAGTATATATTACATCCGTTTGAAGTTGTCTATCGATTGATTCACAAACATATTCAGTAAGATGCAGCAAGTTAGTAACTGTGGACCTGCCCTTCATGAAACCGTGTTGACTGACGGAGATAGACCTGCTTACATGAAAATATAGCACAGTTTGTATCACTATTTCGAATGTTTTTGCGAAATTACTGATAATTGTGATAGCCCGATAGTTTTCTACATAATTCCTCTCACCTTTTTTAAAAACAGGAGTTACCCTAGACAACTTCCAAATAGATGGAAAGTGATTATTTTTCAGAGAGAGATTGAAAATGATCATGAGTGGATATGCTAAAATGGACGCACAATCTCTCACAAAAAATGCAGGTATTTGATCAGGCCCTGCAGTCATTTTTGGCTTAATTTTCTTGAGCGCCTGTAGCACATCGATTTCCTGTACACTAGGCATAGCTAGTGTCGTAGTGAAATGGTAGTCAGTAGAAAAATTAGAAAAATTAGATTGAGCTGTTGGAGTATTATAGCTCCCACTAAAGTGTTCCGCAAATGCGCCTACAACATCATTAGGTGTATTCAATCCCAGCCCATTGTACAGCATATCCTTCGGAATACCAGTGCAGGTTCTTTTTCTATTAACAAAAGACCAGAATTTGCCGGAGCTTTTGGCTATTAAACACTCTTATAAAGCATAGTAGAGTACATTTCAACAGTTGGCGAAGCGTACTCCACTGGGACCAGGGGGGTGAAACGGGATATTAATGCACAATCTGGCAACCATGTCGCACCCTCAAAACATGGCCGCTGACAACCACACAAGTCACCGTGTTGTCATTGAATAGCATGGAATTAAGCCTTCTTCCGTGTATATGTTTTGTGACTGGGACCAAGAGTTGACGGATCCCACCCATGTGTCACTCGTTGAGGAGTTTTGAAATAACTGTTATTCAAATAATGTCTAATTATGTATTCTAGAATGTGTACTCATGAAAAAAGAAAAATATTGCAAATTTCTACTTTTTTTGCAGGTTATAGGTTTGCTGGTAGCTCTACGACATATATTTGGGTATTTCTCAATCGCTGTAAATATAGTGTGGATGTTTGTTCAGTTCCTGAGCAACGAAAAATATTCAACTTTATGGATGTATGGTTATCAAAAAACCTGAATGTTTTTGTAGGAATATCAATCTTAAGGTTCCATAATGGTTCTGACGAACGGCAAATAAATGAATGAATGTTTGGAAACGAGCAATATCTATGAAATTTTTGGTAGAGCCTGTCATCAAGTAGGTGTTTAATGACTACCTGCAAGAGGTTTATAGGAAAATAACACAAGGTAGGTGATGTTGAATCAGTAAAATCGCATATCAATTGAAGAAAATACTATAAACATGAATAAACAGTCGAAAATATTAAATAAAAACATGAATTTTATTCAAAAATCGAATACTGTTTCAAATTTTGACTAAATTATATGTAATTTCTTAATATTCAATAAGCTGGTGTTTCAATGACATGCTCTCATCTCATACTTTGACAGTACTTTGTTTTCAACATTTCATAGCTATTGGTTGCTAAATTTTGTTGATTGGAACTTGAAGCTCATTTGATGTATTTGACGGACTGTTACCTTATAGGTGGAGAATAACGGACTGTTAATTTGACAACCTTGGTGAAATCCACCCTTAACGTCTTAAAAGTTCTAGATAGCTTTATTCAATGCTAGTCCTAACTAGCTGTATTCAATGCTTAAGACTCTGTCAGACATTATATTTTTTGTAACCGCCACGTATCCGAATCAAAGTTGGAAAGCCTTGCTTCACTAGACTCGGAAGTGCATTTTGAAAGTACTTTATTTTACAGCGATTTTTAACCTTATCTGTACATCACGAAAAGCCATGTACTCATTTTTGTCGGTCTGTCTGTCCGCTAATCCGTGACTCGTCTATAATTTGAACAGTACCAGTCGGATTTTCATGAAATTTTGCCAAGGTCGAAAGAGCTTGATAGTTTTTGAAAATCGGTCGTGACTGCGGAGCTATGGGCAAAAGGCGAAGAAATAAAAATCGCGCAAACTTTGATTTTGACATTCCAGATGCTGCGGATCATTCTTGAAAAAAAATGAGTAGTGCCTGGTGTCTAAAATCAGTTAACAGTTATTGGTTACAAAAGATTTCGCCGCTGATCAAGTAAAGTTTAAAAATTCAAGAAAAAAATTAAAGAAACTCTACTTGCTCTGCAGCGAAATATTTTGTAACCAATAGTTGCTAGCTGACCTTTATGCTTTATGATGCTTTTGTTGGTTGCTGCGAAACCACGATGAATATCCTTAAGTAAATGCTCACAATTATAGCAACGTTGCCAGATGATCGGTGCTGTCAGGGGAGAGATACACTCATTGTTGGGCCTATTTGGATGACTTGGTCCACTTTATTTTTGTGTTAAACATATTCATAGCTAACTTTCTTCACAGAGAAACGCGTACCGAACATACCCCTTTATGAACTAATGATGGTGTTGCGTGGGAAGTGCAGACAGAGTCAACCTACTTGATGCCATTTTCTTCTACAAAAATACGGGGCATCCACTTTAAATCAATAAATACTATGGTGGTACATGGTGTATGTCGTTTTTGTATAAAAAGTGGAAAAATCGTCAAAGAATGTTTCAGAAAATGACCCTTCGAATGTTTGCCCCAAATTCAAAGTAGTTGAGAATTCTGATAATGAGAATTCCACACCATGATTAGCCTGGATAGATCAGGAATCATCAGTCTAAGGCAGGTGAGTGCACCGTAGGTAGCAACGAAAAGATCATCCCTACATGTACACGTGTTCTTACAAAGGAGATCCCGATTCGCAATTGTAGCTTTCACGGATGACAAATGACGATCCATTCATGACAGATTCGCTCGTCAACTGATCGTTATTTTCATCCGGTTCGCCGGGAACGGTAACCAACCGCGAGGGGCTGGGAGGGAAGGAGCCCGGACCCGGAGCCGTCCTCCGATTATTGACCGTCCTTCCGAAAAGGGTTTTATTGCGATAATAAGCGCTCCGAGGTATTGCCGGGCAAGTGGAAGAATCGTTGCTAGGATACTGATTTGTGTGTAAGCTGCGAGATTGATGCTCATTTGTTTGCTGTGAGGACATATAGAGTTGGATCTCAGGGCTGCCAGTCGTTACTTGTTTTCTCAAAGACAAAATTTAGGGCATTCAGTAGCGCTTATATGTACTTTCAACACTTTATAGATACTTAACAGGTGAAAGAGGTCATCTTTCGATCCGGACTTTGTCAGAAAGAGTGACTGCCATTTGGCTGCGACATTACCCTGCCAATTCAAACATATCAGATGGCGTCTGGCATACAGGCGTGTGCTCGATGCTCAGATAATTTCATTGTGAACACCAAGAATATTTCTTGCGATTTTTGCAAAAAGTTGTTTCATCATCATTGTGCTGAGGTCGACGACAAATTAGCTAAAGTTAAGCGTGATTGTGCGGGAATCAAATGGTTCTGCAGCGGTTGTCTTCCAATGATAAATGGCAAGCTGAAAATGGCAGATTTTGGGGAAGCAGTATTTAATCGAATACCTGAAAAGTCTGAAGTTAAAATGGTATCTGGTTCACGGGCGTCAAGGAGCAGTGCTAGTGTGCCCGAAAGTGATTTAGCTGTATTGGAAAAAGAGATTAAGTGCCTGGTAAGAGACAAAAATTTGATCGATAAAATCGCAAACGAGAGAGGTTATATTGTGGAAATTCAGAAAAAACTCATAAGTGACCTTGAAGATAAATTCCGAAGTCGGCCAGTGGGCAACAGCAGCAAAAACAAAGATTGTGTTTCGTACAGTGCTATCGTGAAAAAAATGGACCATTCATATTTGTTGATTAAGCCTGCAGATCGTTCTACTTCGTACAAAACTGTTGAAAATGATTTTAAATCTCGTTATTCGCCTGGTGCTCTTAATGTCAATATCAACAAGACTAAACTCACCAAAAATGGTCTGATGGTCAGCTGTAATAGTAAAAAAGATGTGGAGACTAAAAGATTCTCTAAAATCTGATTTAGGAAATAAGTTCGATGTTTGTGAGCCTACCAAAATGTTTCCTAGAATGTTGATACAGGGTGTACCTAACGACTGTTTCAAAAATCCTGGTCCAGATAAACTTGAATTTGTTGATAGTTTTGTTGACGATTTAATATTCAATAACAATTTAGGTGTTAATTCAGATGATATAAAAATAATTAGTTGCTATAAGGTTAAAAATACAAAAAATGTTGTTATGGAGGTGGTTCCTTCTGTGTTTAATTTACTTAGTAGCAAAGGGTTTGTTTTCATTGGCTGGGTGAGATGTACTGTCAGGGAAAATTTATATTTGCTACGTTGTTACAAATGTTGTAAATTTGGTCATGGTAAGAAAGATTGCCGAAGCAAGGATGTTGTATGTTCTAAGTGCTCAGGTTTTCATGAATTTAGAGATTGTAAAGCTGATGATTCTTGTTGTCCTAACTGTAAGTTTCATAATGATAGATATAAAACTAACTGGTGTACAAAGCATGTTGCAAGTGATACCTCTTGCAGTTATTACAAAATGAAGATCGATAATTTGAAAATGCAGATTGCTTATGAATAATTGCACAAAAACTTATAACCATTTTGTTGTTGGACAACTGAATGTAAGATCTCTGTTTGCTGGCTTTGATTCCTTTGTAGATTTGTTGACTACTGATAACTATGATATTATGGGTATCTCCGAAACATGGATTAATAATGATTTTACAGCAGATATAGTAAATATTCCTGAGTACACTTTTTTCCATACTGATCGAGTAGGACGTGGAGGAGGAGTTGGTGTTTATTTAAGGGATTTACTGAGAGGTAAGCTGGTATTGCAAGATTTTTTATGTCCAGATGGTATGGAGCAGGTTTGTGCTGAAATAGTGTTGAATAATCTAAAAATTTTGGTTTGTGTTATCTACAGAGCTCCTTCGAGCAGATTATCAAGTTTTATTGATCATATAGACAACTTTCTCTCTTTTGTGTCTCCTCAGTATGATAATATATGCTTGCTGGGTGATATAAACGTTGATCAAATTACTGACCATTCTTTTCTAGATTGCATTGCGTGCTACGATATGGTATCTCACATCACCCAACCAACTAGGATAACTTTAACCACGGCAACCTCCATAGATGTCATTTGTACAACAAATAACTTAGCTGAATCATTAATTTCAACTAGCTCTGTACCTGTTCCGAATTTGTCAGATCATAATGTAGTCAGATGTGACTTCAACATCACACGGCCTAAGAATTTTCAAAAGACTGTCAAATATAGAGATTTTAAACACTGTTGTAAAGATCAGTTTTTGGTGGATTTGTATAAAATCCCATGGGACGATATATATTACATCACTAACTTAGAGGATAAAGCTACGTTTTTTTCTAATCATACTTTGGATTTGTTTGATGTCCATGCTCCTGTTATTTCATCACGTATTACTAAACCTTATGCTCCATGGCTCACAGGTGGCATAAAATTTTTGATCTCCGAGAGAAATAAAGCCTTTAGAAAATATCAGATTTTAAAAAGTCCAGCTAGTCTCGAATATTACCAGAAATTAAGAAATGATGTCATTTCCGCTATTAGGCGGGAGAAAGCAGCATATCTAAGCTTCAATGAACAACTAAATAGTAACAAGCGTCTCTGGAAAGCTGTACATTCATGGAAACTCAAAACTAATGTAGATAGATCTTTACCTACACAGTTGAAGAATGCCGATGAAGTAAACAATTATTTTTCTTCCGTTTTCACGCCTTCGGGCAATTGCAAGGATCTAGTTGATAAATTTAATAGTACCAAAATTAATGAAAGTGCTAGATTTGAATTTAGTTTTGCCAGCCCACAAAATGTGCTAGACATTATTCTGTCCCTAAAATCTAATGCAGCAGGTTCGGATGGTATAACAGTCTCAATGCTGAAGCTTTGCTTGCCTCGAGTATTACTACCCCTGACGCATTTATTGAACTGTTGCCTGGAGGCTGGGTATTTCCCTGATGCTTGGAAACTATCTCTTGTCAAACCCTTGCCTAAATGTAAAAATCCAAAATGTCTCTCAGACTTAAGACCTATAACTTTGATTCCTGTTATATCGAAGATATTGGAGAAATTGATTAAACATCAGGTTTATCATTATTTCTCTAATAATGATTTCTTTCCCAAGTGTCAATCTGGTTTCCGCAGTGGTTTTAGTACAACTTCAGCTATAGCAAGGGTTTTAGATGACATCATTGCTTCGCTTGATAAGGGAGATGCTTCAGCACTTGTATCATTAGATTATTCTAAGGCGTTCGATAAAATAGATCATGAGCTTTTATGTGCTAAATTGAAGTTTTTTGGTTTTTCAGACATACCTCTAATGTTTTTTATAACATATCTTTCAAATCGTAAACAAGTAGTAGAGATAGACAACACTATATCTAGTCCGATTGATATAACATCAGGTGTCCCTCAGGGTTCAGTTTTAGGGCCCTTGTTGTACTTAATTTATACTATAGACTTGGGTAGCTCTGTGAAAAACTCTTCTGTGATGTGCTATGCCGATGATACACAGATATATAAAAGCTTTAATAGTAACACTTTGCATACTTCAATCAATGAGCTTAATGATGATTTGGAGGCAATAGTAGGATACTCAAATGGTAATAATCTTAAGCTCAATAAGGATAAGTGCTCAGTGATGCTTTTTTGTCCTGCTGTCAAACGTAACACTGTATTGAACTCTCTTGATGTAAAAATCGACAAGGAGCGTCTAGCTGTCGGAAATACTACAAAAAATTTAGGGTTGATTATTGATTATACTTTACGGTTTAAGGAGCATGTTTCGTCTATCTTAAAAAAATGTTATGCAACGTTGAAGTGTTTTTATGTCAATCGCTCTATTTTGAATTTTAAAGTTAGAAAAAAGTTATGTGAGGCTATTATATTTCCAAGCTTATTTTACTGTAGCACTGTGTTCTATCATTGTCTTGATTCTATCACAAAAGCAAGACTCCAAAAACTCCAAAATACTTGTTGTCGATTTGTATTTAATCTCAAGAAGTATGATCATGTTTCCTTAAAGAGATTTCAGCTTGGTTGGATGTGTATAGAAAATGCTTGCAAGTACCATATAGCAGTGTTTACACATAAGATCATATCTTCTAGATCCCCCTTGTATCTTTATGAGAAATTTGTTTTCAGACGAAATAATTCAGGCATTGATTTCAGACTCAAAAAAAGACTAGAGTTCCCTATGTATAAAACAACTTTATTTCGTAGTTCATACACTTACAATGCTATCCTGATGTATAACGAATTAGATGACAATATAAAGGATTGGCCAGTAAACAGATTTCGTAAGCATGTGAAACAGATTTATTTGTCATTGTAGTAATTGTGGAAAAGTTAGTTTTTAATTCTTACATTTAATTTTATTTTACGTAATATATGTGTGTATATTTGATTGAGTGTTTCAATTTAGTATTTGGGTAGGTTAAGTAGAGTAGCCAAGAGCTAGACTTCGCCTACGTAGAGGTCACATTATGTTGTAGTGTATATAATGTGCCTAATAAAGACATTTTATTATTATTATTATTATTAATAAAAATAAGACATAGTTTACTTAAATTCTCATGACTGATTTTGATATATGTATATGTTGTAAAACATATAAATATTTATTTGGCACTGCCACTCACCTCCCGTATATCCCATAACTTCAGCCTTGAAGCACCCAAAAAAGTAATTGGACTTTACTTATTTTCCCACGCTTAATTTTCATAAATTTAATAATAATCATACTTATTCTCTTCACCGTGTTGTTGGAAAAAGATCATGAAACATGTTTACGTATCAGTGTGGATTCACAGTCACTGCGACTTCGTTTTCCTCAAAGAACCAGGGATCAATTTTGTTTATTGACGGATCCACATAAATGAAAATGGGCCTAATCACTAAAAAACGATAGCGTCCTCAGGAACGACTTGACGCATTCATCCGAGAATTGTTTTCACGTTCAGGAAGTTCTTACACAATTGCTAACACGTAAGCATGGGAATGAAAATCGTCATGAAGAATTCTCGTCACTGAACGATCGGAAAGTCCAAGGACAAACACAGGTTTACATATTACACTGTCGTGTACACGTTAAGCCTGCAAACCCTAAATACGTGGTTATGTAAGTGTACCATCACCAAACTACGATTTACAGTACTCTTTTCACATGCTAGATTATTCAACCAATTTCCATATAAATATTTTTGTTTTAATATTGAGGAATTGACATTTGGAATTAGTGTCTAATAATGTTAGTGCTGGGAGAATGCATTTGTGATTACTGGAATGCATTGGAACGGTTCGAAAATATGAATGAATCGTTTTCACCTAATCTCGACTGAAATACTTGAATATCTACTCTTTTAATGCTTCTATACTTCTTGTGGTAGTATTGCATAAAGTAGTTTGTTCGCGAACTAGTTCGTAGAACTAGAATCGTAAGCCTCAGATTCGCTTTGCTTCTGTGGCTCAGAGATATAGTGTTTTCTTATGATAAAGCTAGCGCAGTTTTTGTGTTTAAAATATTCTACCTTAGCGAATCCCGTTGATCCTAAATTTGGTCACAGAACAACATTAAACAACTCACATGTCGGGTCTCGTGCAGTAATTTGTCAATGAAACAGATTTTTCGTTTCTTTGTCCCTTATTTTTGTGTTATTATGGTGAGGTATCAAACAAAAAAAAGCTTGTAAATCACGAGCAAATAGCATTCAAAGATAGAATTCAAAGCACAAGACAGTAGAAAACATCAGCAGGAGTTGCTTCAGGTCGTGAATACCTAAATCTGACTTCTAAAAATGTTCCATGCGTGTCAGATGTAATTCTTATTTAACGTTTACTTTTGGTGCGTGAGAAAAATCACTTTCCGCACTTGCAGTGCGGTGAGTGTTCAGTTATTTTCGTCCACCGATCAGTATGCATGAAATGTCCCATCACTGTCCTATGAATGACCTTATAATAGCTT